AAAAAGCATAGTGGGTAGACACAGGTCGGCTCCTCACTCACAAGAACCAAAATAAACGAGGGCAACCACAAGCCGGGTGCTCACTCGAAGAAGGGAAGCAATAAATTTCCTCTCTTCAATATCATTCAAGTGCTCACACACTTTGCAACAACCAACTCAAAATTTCAAAATTCAAGGCCAAGACATCTCCTTTCGAATTCGGCAAGAACACTCGGGTAGGTAGCAAAGATAGTGCGGTACACATGTGTTTTTACCTTTCTAATCACAAGGCTTGGAGGTTGACTTTTGCCTTCAAAAATCAATCTATTGCGTGCGTTCCAAATGAAGTAGACGGTTGCCGCAAGTGCCGCTTTCTTCAATTTGGCTCGCCAAGTCGTACCTTTTCCTTCTTTTTTAGTCCATTTGAGGGCGCCTTTAAGGGTAGATGGCATGTGATGGAGGCTAACTCAAACTCTAATTGCACTCCAAATCTCCAAGCTATATGGACACTCGAAGAAAAGATGACTCGAAGATTCGTTTGCGGTACCACAAAGGAGGCATGTGGGGTCTTCGTTGGGGAACTCCAATCTATCCTTTGTTTGGAGCATATTCATTAAGCCGAGCCATAAGATGAAAGAATGCTTAGGGGTATTGCAACTTCCCCAAACAACCCCGGTCCATGGCTTCTCGATACCCTTGGGACGAAGAAAGTCATAGCACTTACTCATTCCATCTTGTTTGTCACGCAAATTCCAAGCACGGAGAAGGGCTTCCGCGCCATGCTCGCTACTCGCTTTTTCAATCAAGCTTTGACGGATTTCAAAGAGGGATTTGAAGAAGGGGGAATCATTTTTGGAAACTTGCCAATCCCAAATAGTTTTCTCCTTCAAATAGATGTTGTGGATCCATTTGTACCAAAGTGAATCCTTCTTTGCTTGCATATTCCAAAGAGTCCTCATGAGAAGGGCTAGGTTCCAAGCGTCCAAGTTACGGAGCCCCAAGCCACCCTCCGCACGAGGTAGACACAAAGTATCCCATGCAACGGGGGCTTTTTTAGAGCCCCATAAGAACCTCCTACAAAGTTGAATGATCTTGGTTCAAACAATGCCCGACAAGTGGAATATGCCCATCCAAAAGCAAGCGATGCCTTGAATGACCGATAGTTCCAATCTACCGGCACAGGAAAGGGAATGACTCCTCCATCCACTTAATTGGCTTTCAATTTGTTTGATCATATCATCAAATAGCCTCCCGGTAATGCGATCCGCGGTGAGGGGAATCCCGAGGTAACGAAAAGGCATAGGCCCACTTTGCGAACTAGTGTCATCAAGGATTGTCTCATGATCTTGCTCTTTAACTCCAGCCATATATATGTTGGATTTGAGCACATTTATTTCAAGCCCCGATTTTGCTCCAAAATCCCTTAAACAATTCACAAGCAAATGAATTAACCCCGAGTCCCCCCGAGAGAGGAGCATGAGGTCATCGGCGAATACAAGGTGAGAGATTTTAAGCTTCTCACACATAGGATGGAATTTGAAGTTCGGGTCTTCCGCTGTGTGCCATTAAATGAGCCGAGATAAATATTCCATACAAAGAACAAAAAGGAAAGGCGAGAGAGGGTCACTTTGTCTTAGCTCACGAGCTCCTTTGAAATGACCTTTAAGGCTTCCATTGATGGATAAAGAATACGAAGGGGTGGTGACGCACTCCATGATCCACTTAGTGAAAGCCATTGGGAAGCCTAAACCCTCAAGCATTTGCCTCAAGAAGGCCCATGAGACAGAATCGATTGCTTTACGGAGGTCGATCTTGATCAAGCATCTCGGGGAGACTCTTTTTCTAAAATATTGACGGAGTAATTGTTGCATGAGGTAAATATTGTCCGTCATATTTCTACCTTTCACGAAAGCGGCTTGGGCTTCATCAACAATAGCGTCGAGGACCTCACTAATTCTCCTTGCGAGGATTTTGGAGCAAATCTTGTGAACTGTGTTGCAACACGCAATTGGCCGAAAGTCCGTGACTCGAGAGGAGTGGGAGGACTTAGGGACAAGCGTGATTCCGGTGTGGTTCCATTGCTTGAGGATGGACCCGGAACGAAAAAATTCTTTGATTGCCGCAACAAGGTCATTACCAACCACATCCCAACTCTTTAAGAAGAAGGTAGAGGTGTAGCCATCCAGACCCGGGGATTTGTCTCCTTCAATGCCTCTAAGGGTGGACTTGATATCTTCATCGGTTACTGGGGCCATTAGAGTGCTACGATGGTTGGGGCTAAGGGTCGGCCCCGAACTAAGAATTTGAGGGTCAATGTCCTCCGTTTGCACCCCGGTTCCCAATAGGCCTTCATAGTAACGTATAAATTCCTTAGAAACATCCTCCATGGAGCCGGTTAATGTGCCATCCTCATGAGTTATCGAAGCAATATAGTTCTTTTTCGCTCTCTTCTTGACCAAGCTATGATAGAACTTGGTACATTTATCTCCTTTGATTTGGAAATTGCATTTTGCCTTTTGTTGGAAGAAGAGTTTTTCCGCTTTGGCCAAGTTAAGAGCTTGGAGCCTAAGAGGCCCCAACTTAGACTTGATGTCGAGATCATCCGGTTAGTCGTGGAGCATTTGTTGTGCTTCCTTGAGAGCGGCTTTGGCTTCATTGGCAGGTGTAGAGATATGTGAGTAAGATTTCTCATTAAGTGCCTTGAGCGAATTCTTAAGATTCTTGAGATTGGTAGTGAGGCGAAATTGCCTCGATCCCCCACCAACATGACTCCAAGTGTCGGAAACACATGACAAAAAATTCTCATGCAACGTGCACATATTAAAGAAGCGCCAAAAAATTCTCATGCAACGTCCACATATTAAAGAAGCGCCAAGGGGAACCCCCATTGGCTCCGGCTTCGAAGACATGAACTAGACAAGGAGAATGGTCGGATATACCCGGGGCAAGGAATGAGGCATGAGAGAAATAATCGGCATTCACCCATTGGGGGTCCATCATAGCTCTATCCAACTTGGACCAAACATGACTATTTGTCCAAGTGAAAAAGAATCCACTAGAGGGGATGTCGGATAGGCCAAAAGTGTCACACAATTCAAAGAGGTCCATGGTATCCCGGTTTGTGAGACGCTCTCCTTTTATTCTTTCCTCCAGCTTGAGGATGGCATTGAAATCTCCGAGAATCAACCAAGGCAAAGAAATTGTACCCCGAGAAGCTATGAGGTCATTCCATAGTAATTTCCTATCCCCTCTCGAATGAAGACCATATACAAAGCTAGTAAAGAAGGAGTTATTACTAACCTGCAATGTATTTTCGTTAGGTTGACTTGTGGCAAGGTGCTTTCTACCGTAAGGTCCACTCTTGCGGTGTTCCAAATGATGGCTATACGGCCTCGATCAATAACATGAAAGTTTTCGCAAAAATCCCAACCCGGGAAACCTTCTTTGCACGAAGAGAGAGAGGCGCCTATTGTCAGTTTTCATCTCCAATAGACCAAGAATGTCTATATTATTCTTCCGGATGAGGTTGGCAACCTCATCTTGTTTTAAGGGCCCGTTAAAGCCCCTAATGTTCCAAGAAGCGATTATCATTGGGAAGAGGAGGGGTTTCCCCCTTTCTTCGGATCTGCGCTTTTCCCCGGGTCCTTTTCTTGTGTTCGTCTTGTCCTTGTGCTTCGTTGATTGTTCCATTGGTGGATTGTTTCTAGCCGAGCAACTCCTTGTTTGGACTTTGTTTCGCCTCTCCACTTTCTGAAAACCATCATCATCCGGGGTCACCTCCTTTTTGTCTCCTCTGGGAGTGGTTGGCCTGGTATTCGAGGAGCTAGCAATCTCCATCGGGCAAGAGTTTTCCCTTTTGTTCTCCTCCTTGGTGCTCTCTTGTTTTGAGTTGCTCCCTTGACACATGTGTTCACTTTTCTCATCTTCTTTGGTGGTCCTTGCCTTCTTTTTCTCATGGGCATTGACCTTGAGAGTGTCCTCCTCGACTTTTTTTTTCCAGATAGTCTACCTTCCCATGCTTTTTCGGTTCCCCATTTGCTTTTTTGCCCTTCATGTGGGCCGCATGCTTACCACAATTTGAGAGAGAGTGGCCGATGTACTTGCAATGGGAGAAATAATGTGGGACATATTCATACTCCACCTTTTGTTCAAACAATAGCCCATCCTTACCATTAACGGGGACACTAAGGGTCCGGTCTTTTGAGAGGTCAAGCTCTACTAAAACCCGGGCGTAATTTCTTCGAGCACGTGTTGCCGTTAACTTGTCGGTGGAGATGGGTTTACCAACACACGAGGCTATTTTGGCGATAGCTTTGGCATTCTAACACTCTCCGGGCAAGAACGGGAGATTGATCCAAGCAGAAACCACCTTGATATCATCTTCCCCAAATTGGAACCAATTTCGAAGATTTTTTAGGATGAGCCCCCTTCCATATGTGGTGAGGTCCCCCTTGAAGCACTTTGACTCTATCATCATCGGTTTTGAATTTGAAAACAATCCACCCATTGACATTGGGGACAATCTCGAACTCTACGTTCCAAGTCTTACATAACTTTAGGAGAGCCTCTTTCCCGGTGTGCCTTTGGGTAAAATACCCGACTAGGCAAAAGCCCCATGTGTCGGTAAGCTCGGAGATGTCCTCCTTTTCAAGGAACGCGCCTCCTTCCTTTGGCGGGATATAGTCCAATTTGAGGCCTAAGGAGGGTTTGCGATTGTCGGCAAAAAGGGCCGAGAAGGGCCTCTTTTGTGTAGCGGCATCCTTTTGAGACTTCACCAAATTTTCCTTTACATTTTCTTTTTGAGGCATTTTATCAAACAACTTGTGGGTGTCTTTCTTGCCTTCACTTGTTGCTACTCTTGATTACCCTCTACTCCCTCCAACATCTCAACAGCAAATCCCATGTTCACAAGATCATCAACAACATTATCCTCATTAGTGAGCTTACCTTTGGATGTGGGAAGCCCAAGAACACTCTCGGCTTTGGAACTACCGGCGGTATTTTTGGTTGCAAGCGGTGCCGTGGTCTCTTCTTCCATGGGTTCAAAATCGTCGATGTCCTCGGTGTTGTCAAGAATGAGGCGGCGGTATGATGCTATTCTCTTGCTCCTAGCCATTATGGACTAAGCAACTTCCGCGGCTTAGGAGTTTCAACCATGGAATTGTTCGGATTTTGTGGGCGGAATTAAGAACGAGTTAAGCACTCAAAAACACTCAAGATCAAAGAGGTGAAAGATCAATTTGTTCAAGCCCTAGAAAATAAGATGATTTCTAGTGAGAGAATGTGATGTAGCGCAGAAATAAACGAAGGGGAATAAGATGAGAAAACTCAAACTGATAAAATTATTCGTAAAAAGTCTGATTGTCTTCAATAGGAAGAGACAATATATAGAATCCTCACAAAGCTAAAATCCTAACTTACCAAATAAATAACGTCCATATAATATGGATTATTCAAATCCTAATTAGGAAAAGAGAATAAAGCATAATAATAAAATAGATATCAAATAAATAATTAAACTAAGGATGGTAAACGATCATATTTGTCCATAAACGCCATCGCGATCTCGTCTCAATCATCCTCCCCCGGTTGAGGAGGATTCGCCCTCGAATCCGTACCGATCTCGTCTCCATCGGAGTTATCACCAAAGTAAGGGACCAAATGCTTGACGTTAAAAACGTCGGAAGTCCGAATATGCGAC